CTGTGAAAACTAAAAGAATAGATAAACGTTTAAATAATTGAAATACAAAAATATTACACGTCTACATTCATTTCTCATCTCTTAACAGATTTTGTACAGTTTACTGTGCTTTACTTTTCAGTTACTTAAACTAGCATATAATTTTGCTATTCGTAAATGTCTAAAACATCTTAATAAATTCTTTAATTTCCTATATTTTACGTCCACTTTTTAAGATGATAGTATTGCACACGAAGGAAACTGAAATTGCATACAAATTTGTGTCTTATATCCACTAATTTCTAATTTATGGAGCAAGCCAAGAATTGAGGTGTTGGAGAATTCTTGAGTCAAGCTTCGAAGTATTTCTGAGATTTCAAAAGAGAAAGTCTCGTCCAGAAAAGCTCCGAGTGCCCATTAACGAAGAAAATGTAATGAACACAATCATTTAATTATAATTTAATGGATTTTATTTACGGATAAAAACGTAATACAAAAACAATTCGGAAAGACGTTGCAAATATACACCTGCAGAAAAGAAACACAAACAATAGCATACATTCAGGTTTAGAAACAAGAATACTGTAAAACGGTGCCTCGCACAACTTGCAAAACTCTCTTAATTTCGTAATTGTCAGGGATTCAGGGTATAGTTGAATTTCTCTCACATGATTACGGAAACAGTGTCAGTCTGTCAGCGAGACACTGAGAAATGTGGCGAAATATCAAAATGCTCCTAGCACTCATTGTACTAGTGCTCCAGCACCTACTGAGCTGAACATTCTAAATTCACCCACCGCGCTGCGGACTCATTAGTTGTTCTTTGAGTAGTATGTAGTATTAAGAGCTTTGAGTAGTATTTCCTTCCACCCCTTTTGAACCAATGAGCGAATTTTTATACCCGAAGAAGGAAAGATATATATGCTCCGGGGTTTTGTTAAATATTTTGTACTCTTCCTACACTTAAACGCCAAGATTAACAAGGTCGAGTATTTCAGAAAAAATGTCCCGATCATTTGTTGTGTTGTGTTTATTTCGACAATTACGTAAGTTGGAATCTGGTAATATAAAGTGGAAAAGCATTTGAAGCTTTCATAAAACCGGACTAAGCTAAAAAGTAGGAGAAAATGAATGAGTAAAGAGGAAACTAAACTCCCTTGATCTTGCTGTGTAAACGTGTGTATTTTGGTTCGCAAACGTTAGGGGTTTCAGGTCCGTTTAGCCCTCTATTTCTCATCATCCATATAGGTGAAGTGAATGGAGAGTCGGGCTGAAATGGCGTTGCGCGAGGCACCGCGCACTCACGAGCGCACGAAGGCGCAGAGCGGACAGCGGCAGAGGAAGGCGGGGCCTACCTGGATCTGCTGGGCGCCGCCGGGGCCGATCTGCATCTGCTGCGCCTGCGACATCTGCAGCTGCGTGCCGGGGCAGGAGGGCGGGCGCGGGGGCGTGCTGCTGCCGTAGGGCCCGCGCCGCCGCCCCCGCCGCCGCGCCGCCCCGGCCGCCGCGCCGCGGGCAGGTACTGCGGGCTGCCGTGGTGGGCAGCGCCCGGGGCTGCCGTAGGGCGAGTACTGCTGCTGCTGTTTGGGCGGAGGCCCGCGTACGCCCGGGCCCGGCCATCTTGGCGCCCTGCGGGGGCGGCTGCGGCCCGCCCGCCGGAGCCCGCCGGTCTCGCCCCGCCCGCCCGCCCAGCGCCGCGCCGGGACCGCCGCCGCCGCAGCGGCCCGCCCGCCGCCGCGGCCGCCGCGCCGCAGCAGCGCTCGCCGCGGCGCCTTCACCTGCATGTCGCCGCCCGACGTCGCCCCGGCGCTCGTGAACGCGTCGTCTGCGTCGCGCTGAACATCACCTCCTGCTTGATGAGCTCCGCCTGCGGACACACGGCGCTCTACAGCTCGCCACTCACCGGCGTGAAGCGCTCCCGTTTGGTTTCCGCCAAATAAGATGTCAGACCTGATGTATATCTATGAGTGTAACAATTTCGATTTCGTTATTTTCGTGGAGAAAATTTTTTATATAGTGGGGGCTCGTGGCTAGCTCTTGATCAGATGTGCTCGGTTCCATTCCGCGGACAAGGATTCGATTCCCGCCAAGGATTCGATTCCCGCCAGGATTCGATTCCGCCAAGGATCGATTCCCGATTCCGAGCCAAGAATTAGTGTGCGTTTTTCTGCATATCCCGTTGCCAAGTTCCAGTGTGACGATGAGAAAATTCATTCTTTAGTGAGAAGACCGGAGTACAGCGTGGGAATGTCTACGTGCTAACACACGTACCCCCTTCACATATGGCCACGAGACAAGGACGTCGCGGTGAGCCCGTTCACGGACTGTGCGCCAAGTACTACATGCATACATAAAATTGGAGTAAATTGCACCACAATATTTCAAACCCTTTCTATGACTGTGCGTGCTGCAGTTGTTCCATGTGCTTGCTCGCTCGACGATCGATTATTTGAGTGGCTCCCTAACGAAAAAATTAACAATTCAAGAATTGCGAATAACGGAGCACATGATAATAAAAACCCAATGCACATTTTCCCCCTGTACGCAGAAAATATGCTCAAATTCAAATTATTGAAACGTGATTTTTATTATGTTATAATCTTCCATATTTTACCAGTTTTCTTGGTAAGCAACATGAAGTAAGTAAACTGCTAATTCAACTGGATTGTTGCTTGAAACCATATCAGTAAAAAGGGAACGTTTCAATACTACAAGCTGTGCAGTCCATCTTGAAAATTCGGTAACGCTCATGAACTAGCCAAACCGACTTGTGACTTTCCACCAAATCACAAGGGAAATAAAAATGCCTCGAAAATTGTTTGCAATTATGGTTCTACCTTAATAGTACTACTCTACGAAAATTTCATTCCGGTCTTCTAAGAATAAAGCGCCTGGATGAAAGTACTACACGTAAAAAACACGGATTTAGTCAGTAAGTATTATTTCAGTGCTATATTTTGGAAGTTGTTACGCATAAAACCTTATACGTTTCATAATTACTAGTGCTTATAATCCGCCCCCTCACAAATGACGTACGAATGGAAAGCACATGCCTCGAACTTTTTTTTTTTTCCTGCCAGACGTCCGTGACTGGTCCAACGAGGACCCAAACTTTTTTTTTGCATATTGTGTTACATGTATTTTGTGAAATGTAGGTGTGTGTGAGTGGTGGTGTGATGTCCTCCAAAGCGGCTCAGCGGGGGAAGTGTTTGCGCTTGCGTAGTACCGAGGCCGATGAAGTGTGTGTGTGTGAGAAGCAGAGGTGGCGAGTAACGCACTCTGCGTGCCGCTGTGCGAAGCGCCGGGCCCGGGCCGGCGGAGACACCTGCTTGCTGAGGAAGGCGGCGGCCGCGCGCGGCGCGGCGCATGTGCGGGGTGCGGCCGGGCGGGCCGCCGGGCGGGCCGGGGCCCGAGCCAGGGCCCACGCCGGGCCCGCGCCGGGCGGGGGGCCGGGGCGGCCCGGGCCCGGCCCGCCGGGGCTGCCCCAGGTGGTGTAGTCGCGGGCGCCGCCGGGAACTGGAAGTCCCGTACGGGGAGCGCGCGTTGCGGCCCGGGGCCACCGCCCACCCCGGCTGCGGCGCGGCGGCGGCCGCGCGGCGGCAGACGGCACAGCCCCATGCCCAGCTGCGCTTTGGTGGCTGGTGCTGCTCCGCCATTTGCTTCAGCGTCTGCGCCGCGGGGCTCACCTCCGCCTGCACACGGCCACAGCAAGCGCTCACATCAACCGCTCGCCCCGCGGACACACGAATTCAGAAACGTACGGTCGCTTGACGCCGTTAGCAGGGTGTGGTAGGCCACAGAGCACGATTACCGTCCATGAACGGGCATCGAAATATCACTCTACCGCCGCTCCATACGCTTACAGATACAACGAACGTTATAAGACACTAACGTCACTGGCGTCCGGTAATTTTGACTCTCGGTTGGTTGTAAGGCCACAAGGCACGATTAATGCTGTGCAATGGACGGCAAATACAATGCAACAGACGCATGTGGTGCTGTGTTAGCAAACGTGGATAGGCCTGACTCAGCAATTGTGCTTGGCATTAGAATGACAACTATAAAATGAAAAAGAGGAGATGGGGAATGCCATTATACGAGCTCCTTTCAGGGAACATTTCACTTCTCTTTCAGATGTAATGCAGCGACGGTGGAATTTCTTTATTATTTCCGACTGTCGACCCGTAGTCAAACGATGTAACTCAAGATACATGATCATATGAAGGGCAAAATACCAATGTGAATATGCTAACCCCAACCAGTAGAAACGCTAATGATCTTTTTTGGATCTTTTTGATTTTATGAATTTAAAAATATATGCCGCTCTTCCAATGCCGCGTCGCTGTTTCTCCTTCACATTCGCACGCAATGGAGGCCTAAGACAGCTACAGCGTCAGCTGGGAGCGTCATATGCATTCCTAGCGGCTAACGTCGCATTGTGTGCTACGCGACGGACCGTTGTGGTCAACGGACGTCACTGCATGCGCGGAATGAACCACGACTCGTACGCGTCCTGCTGGCTACTTCGGGAGCGTTAACGTCCGTCATTTGATGTTCGTGTGTGAATACCAAGAAAAAAGTGTGTGTGACTAACAAAAAAATTGTTCTTAAATAATTACTGGAACGTGCAAGGAGCCTTGACTTTTCAAGTAAATGATTAATTTTAACGTCATATGCGTTCGACATCAAAACATGTTTCATTGAAGCATAAGGCACGCCGTGATTCGCAAGAACATAAACCGCACTCCTGCAGGCCCATGCCCAAGCCCACTGTGTATCTCTGGCCTTATCCAGCTCGCGGCACAACCGGCTCACCTGCCTTTCAAATCATTATCAGAAACAAAAATGAAAAAAAAATTCAACGCCTGTTATTCTTGCATTGGAAGCGAACACCCCATATCACCAATTAACATGACACTCACTCTGCCCGACCTCGATGAGCACCACACGCTTGACTCTGTCCCAAGCATCGTTCTCTACCGCTCGAGCTCTTCCCATTGTCGTATCCACGAGAGCGAGTCTCACCTTGCTGAAGTCGAGCCCGAGTTAGGCGCCGCATGCGTTTGCGCATCCTGCTGCTCGTAGACGCCCTGCGGCGAGAATGCGCGCTGCAGCAGCGGGCTCGGGAGCGCGGCGCCGGGTCCCCGCCCCGCCCCCGCCCGCCGCGCCGGCCTTGCCCACCAACGTCCAGCAGGTGCTGGGCGGCCGGCGTGCGGGTGCGTGGGGTGGCCGTGGCGACTGCTGCCTGCTGCTGGCTGCTGTTTGCGGCTGGGCGGGATGGCTCTGCCGCTGCCGCCGCCAGCCGGCCGTCCTTGGGTCGTCCTCCGTCCTTGATGGTGAAACGCCGCCGCCGCCCGCGCCCAGACCGTCCACGTATTGCCTTCGAAGCCAAATTCTTTCAAGAAAACCTGGTGGAAGTCGGAGATCTCAGAGTGAGGTCCTTGAAGGCGTCCGACGTGTGATCTCGTCTGCTGTGTCTCGCCGATGAGGTCCGTCAGGCCCGGGAAAGGAGGCCCCGTTGGTCGCGCGCGTCCTAACCAAATTCAGCAGGAAATTGCATATTTACTATTATTATTATTATTATATTTATTATTAATTGTTATTATTAATTATCATTAAAATGATCGTCGCTCAGAGCGTTCTATTTTCTTAAAAGACCTGAGGAATTATGCTACTTCAAACCCATTCGGACCTCTCCGACTTTATTTTCAAAAGCCGGAATATGAATGAAGCGCGTGACAGCATAAGAGTTTCGAGCTACCTTATTGGCATTTACCCTTTTCCCAAATCAGAAAAATAACTCGATGTAAACCTTTTAGGTCACTGTTTCAACATTTGTCGTACGCATCATCCTCTACAGTAGGGATTCTCAAAATATTTTAGCATTTGTGTTGTGTACAGCGTAATTTTCACGTCCCTACGATGAAATTTTGCTTCCAAATACCAGTTTACGAATGTTATGTAATCATTAAATCAATTGTTAAATATATCGAAAGTAATTATAATAAATCTACATAGTAAAGAAAAAAATCGTTCTTAAATAATTACTGGAACGGGAGGAGAACAGTGGAACTTTAAGTTAAATTATTAATTGTACTGACAAATCAGTCATACGGAAGTTGCTCATGCCACGCCTCTCAACTTCGAATGAGTAAGATGTGAGATGGTTAAATGACGTTTAAAGGTTTTCGGTGTAAAACTTTGAGCCTCGGACGTGTGATATGCTTAATTAAGTTGTACCAAACTTCGGAATCCAGGCTTGACGCGAGGTACAATCTTGCATCAACTTCTGCGCTCGCCAACCGATCTTGCAAAGTAGCTCAATGCGGTTGGCATCATGCTCGGAAAGTTTGAGTACTGAAAGTGTGAGGGCTGGAGATTGTCATAGTGAGGCAGAGATGTTGGAAGCATGGTCTGTGTGCGAGTGTGAAGCAAAGCGGCGAAACGCGCTGCGTCACCTTCTCCAGCGCCGCGGCGCACTGCTCCAGCGTCGACGAACTCGCTGTTCGGGCTCCTGCTTGCCATCGACCGAGCGTGCCGATGTCGGAGGGCGAGCGGCGCCGTTACCGGCCCGGCCGGCGCGCGCGCGCCGCCGCGCCGCCGCCCGCCGCGCCGCCCGCCGCCGCCCGCCCTGCGACCGCCGGGCGTGCGGGGCCACTTGGGCGACGACGCTCGCTCTTGACCGGCGCGTTGGTCAGCGCCTTCACCGTTCACGTTGGTGGAGTTCTGCTCGGCTGCGAGTGCGCGGCCGAGTGGTGAACTCCAGCCTGCTGCGATCTCCACTGACTTGTTGAGGCTCTCGGTGGAGGCGGCCGAGGTGGCGCGGCGGCGGCCGGCAGGCCCGCGGCCGGCCGCGAGCGGCGGGGCGGGCGGCCCGCCCGGCTGAGGAGGCGCGCCGCCGCGCCCGCCCGCCCCGCCGCCCGGCCGCCGCGGCTCCGCGCCCGCCGCCGCCGCCCCGCCCGTGCACTGCATTCTTGGGCGGAGGCTCGAAGGCATCGCCCGACGCGCCCGGCGGCTCCATGTCCTCCGCGCTGCGCTCAGGAATTTTTGCTGCTGCAAACACACACACACACACGCACATTGGAGCAACCGATATAAGGTACAACGCGCAAGCGCTTGCTCAAGGCACAACAGAAACACTGAATACGAAAAAAAAGCACATACAAGCTACAATAAAGACGGAAACGGATGGCATCTACCCCTTCTACGTAGTGTCGCAAACACGCGTTGTCCCAACGACATGCACTGTCCCCAACCTTCCCACCTCATTACTGTGCGAGTTCATCAATTCAATTTAATTGGGAGCAGAGAAGTAATACATACCCGTATCTACACATGCATGACTATGTGAAGAATATTAGTTATGTTATATGACAAACAAATACATTCGAATCGAGCGGCGTATGGCTTTATTTTATCTTTTTCTTGTTCTGATTCAGATCATCACTGTGTTGAAAATGCACCTAATAAACATTGGAATACATAGAGACCTTCCAATCGACAGTATACATTATCCTGCCAACCTCGAGCGATCCTGAACAAAAAACGTAATTATTTTCGCGGTAACCCTCCTATTATCACTTGAATTAACGCAACAATAAGTCTTCGGTACAATAATGCAACAGATTACATTCCCACTCTTACAATGGCATTCAGAAAGAATGGATGCGTATGTAAAGTTACATCATTTTATGATATGAAATAGTTGTATCCGCTAATGAAACTGCCGATTTAACATCAATACCACGGTATTATCAATCACCAATATCGTTATCATTGTTATCGATAAAACGCAAGTATAGATATTAGAGTTTGTGCATGCCATAGCGAACAACACTATCGATCTTCTGTGTATGCCCAGACGCAATAAAGTGAACGAAAACTTGAACTGGACATGTGCAAAATATCGATAGTGCTTTAAAGTTCCAGGGTGCACAATCTCTCTGTTAAAACAAATGTATTCGACTCCAATACAACAATATTTACATAACGTTAAAGAATCTAGCAATACTAATTAAACATGTTCCCATCGAACAAAAATATCAATACAATAGAAGGAACCGAGCCTGTTAGAAAAAAGAATGGATATCAATAAAACACGAGTCCTCGATACAGATACAAAAAAAAAGTATTGATATCGAGGGGGAAAAAATTAATCGATGCTGAAACAATCGATTCCGTTAAAACCAAGGAATGCGATAGAACAAGAGAATGTCGATATGATTACGACGAAATTACTCGATACGTAAGTGGGCAAACTACTCGCGGGTCCTCACGGAGGTGGAGGCGGTGATGCAATGGTGGGTGTTTCGGCGGCGCTTTCTCTGTCACCGCTGTCGCAACGGCACGGGGCGGTGGGGGCGCCGAGACGCGCTCTGGCGACCGCGGGCCCGCGCTGTGGACGTGCGTCCATGCACGCCCCCCTCGCGGACCCCCCCGCCCCGGCCTTCACTTCGTCCTACCCGCCCACCTTGCTTTGTCTTGCTCTGCCCGCCTTCCCCGCCACGTCATTACACGCCCCGCACCACCCCGCCCGCCCCGCCCTTGCCCTACCTTGTCTTGCCTTGTCTCGCCTCACCCTGCCTCACCCTGCCCCACCTTGCCTTGCCCAGCCCCGGGCGCGCTTCGCCCTGCCTCCACCCTACCTTCCCTGCCCCGCCCCGCCGCACCCTGTCCCGTCCCGTCCTGCCCGGCCACGCCCCGCCCCATTCCATCCGTCTCGCTCAGCCCTGTCCCATCCGTCTCACCATGCACCCCTCTACCCTTCCCTGCCCTGCCACGTGCCATGTGCCATGTTCCGCCCTTCACGCCCAGGGCCCAGAAGGGCCCAGAAACCATCAAAACAAGTGAAGGCAATCTGGACATTCCCCACGAGCGCGCGGCAGTCGAAAAGACTTCGAGGGCACAATTTTATCGGGACTTTAGACGGGATTCCTCATTCACTTGGAATACCAGGATGTCTCCACACGAGTCTGCTGCCTGCCTTTTGTGCCACGTCCGCCAGTTCCGAACGCGATAAACAATGTCGCAAGATTGATAAAACAGTGATCGAAAAAGGTGGGCTTTCCACCGACAGTCTTACGTTCGAAGGAGTTCGCAAGAGTGCACAAACAATTTTCTTGAAACTTCCGTCCGTTTTTTCCATTCATTTGTTGTGCTCTTGTAGCGAACGTTCAACACCTGCGTGTTTAATTCACGCAAACTGTAATGTTGTGTTCGGCGATTCGCCATTCACGACTTCTTCCAGTTCCGCAAGCGAAGAGCAATACGTGCGCTGAAAGTTACACGAAGTATATACGACTACTGACACACGTTCGATATAACATAATACAACTTATACACCATTACAACTCTTTTATGCCGTCCTCGGTAGCCGATCAACAACGCAGCTGCGCCTTCGCAATCTCGTATCAAAGGATCTTGAGTTCAAATCCCGCTTCGGACATGGAAGTTCGCTGTCTTGCCGCAGGGTGGGGATCTTATTTCAACTTAATAATTTATATGAACCGCAAATTGAAATTTAGGACGAAAGCGACCGATGTACCCCTGCTTGCTCCACAGCTCCGTTACAGCTCTCGTTACCCACGAGAACGTTATCCACAGAATAAAGCTAATGAAGCTAAAACAGCACGCACTTTCTCGTCCGTACTTTCACGCAAAATTACGAGAAAAGTACTCAAATTTGCGAAAAAATTTACATGACCTTATTTTAAAATCTATATTTAAGGAACAAATTATATTAAGGGAAAACTCTCTATCTTTGATATTTTAGTTGAAGGAAGACTCCGAAAAAAATGGTGAACTTAAGCAATTTTCGGAAATGCGTTGTTTTCAACGAACATGAGATCTGCACCATTTTCTTAAACGTCGTTCACACTAACCAACAACTAAATTTAATAAAAAACGATGGAGCCACTTTTTTGACAATGTCTCAGGGGCTTAATGCAAAGTAACCCCAGAATTGAAATATCGGTTTGAAATTCAAGGGGCCGCGACATCAGCCAGATCGATTGAGGAATAACAGTTTTGGAGAAAATCTGCTGAATGGTTCAGTCGCTAGCGTTGTTCACAAACTGACAGACAGACGTTTTGCAATCAATCGATTTTTCTATAAGAAGGACCCACAAAACATGGATTCTGGCTACCCCACGTGTTAGAGGATTTCGCCCCCTAAATTTAGCAAATGAATTTATCCACTATTTCCTTAGCAGGACCCTATAATAAAGAGTTTTTCTGCCGAAAATTCGACTTTTTTTTCGCGCAGCATTACAAAACTTTCTCTCTCGGCGGTAGCAAGAAAGTAACCACGTGACGATCCGCAAGAATTGAGAACGAAGGATTCGGAGAATAAACTTTCGCTCTTAAGGCTGCAGAGAAGGCAAAACTCGCGTAGTCGGAAGCCCACGAGCCTCCAGCGCGCGCTCGCATCGCGACGCTGCTGCCCGTGAACCGCCAGGTGCGCTCTCGGGCAAAGCGTCCTCCTCCGCCCCTCCGCCAGTCGCCCTGTCCATGCCGATCGCCCGTCCATCACTCGCCTTTGATCTTCTCCGTCGGTCGGAAAAGCGAGAACGCGAACCACGCTTTTTTTTTCTTTTTCCATCCGAGTCTGCAGTCGAAACGCTGCTGAAAAATCTTGCGACGCGAGTGCGAGGTAGCCTGTCGAGTCCACTCTGGAGCCGAGTGCATTCGCAAACATCAGCAACCCACTCGAAAGTAATTACGAGAGTACGGAAATTTGGCAAAATGCCTTGTTCTATAGTTGCGATTCAATGGTATTTAACAATAGGAATAACTGAATTGTACTTCTGGAGTTGTTTTAATTTAGTTTCATTTTACAAGTTTCGCCTATTTTAGCTTCTGAAAAATATTTTAGGTATTTTGCCTAATTTTGTCTTTTGTCGTCCTTTACCGTCATTATTTTCCTTGTTTCCTTCTGGCACCAATCACGATCAAGCAGCAAACATACCAGCAAGCCTGAACAACACGAAGGTACTGTCGTTGTTTGTCTTTCTGCGGTAGGGGAGGCTCCAGGACCAGGTAGCGTTAAAATTTAAATTAAGAAGGAAGATTATGACGGTCAAGATTTTTGATTTTTTTAGTGCTGCCATCAGGCTTTGTTCACCCCTGGGGAATGCTTTCCTACGTTTGAGAATGGCCTCTGATTCCTTTTTACGACAGAGCTCTCTGTATTTGATGAAAACTTTTCGATGCTGCCGAACACACAAGTGCGAAAAACCAAAACTTATTCTGTTTTTGCAGATACCATTTCAAGATGAAAAAGGGAGTCCACAAAAGTACTTTGTAGACAGCGTTGTGAGTAAAACAAATTCTCAGGCACCATACCGGGTGGCCTTTTGCAATCAATATTACAAAGAAATTATTGTTTCCTTTTACGTTGTGTTGATGTAAATTTTGAAGTCACTATCATTTAAATTATTAATTCTTACTATCTTTTCTTTTAAATGGTGATTTTTCATTGTTTACATGCGTTTTTCCACCACATTTACCAGAATAAATGGATTTTTGCATGCCTATTTAAGGCAAAATAAATGCCTGAACTTTCATGCTCAAGGAATTATTAATGTAGCCTAAAGCAAGCCCTTAACAGAAAAACACTTTTGCACACATTGGAAACATATTATTTTAGTACGATTTCATGGAAACTTACAGGTATATTAACTTGCGATCATTCACAATATCCAAGACGGCAGTCATGGCATGACGGCATGCAAGTCATGTTGTTTCATATCACACCCGCGTTTTGTTTCTGATGTGTCCGTTTTTTTCATATCTTTATATCAAGAATGTGGAATAAAATTCATTAATTTTCCACAAAATATTGATGTCTCCCTATCTTCGCTTCGTGAGGCCTATGTGTGCTGCATATTCCATTCGCTCCGGTATAATTGTTAATAAGAAGTTATACAAGCACTTCTTACTTCCACGTGGCGGAAAACAGCACAAGGTCTTTGGCGCTCATGAGGTCAATTCACCGC